TAGTACAATGAGCTGTAGTTGTCTGTGGCAAGAGAATCAAGATTTGAGATTTTGTTTTGACTTTATCTTTGAACTGGGGTATATCTAATAACTTTAATCTACTTTTTCATACACGTTTCATCATTTTTTTTAAAAAATCAAATTTTGCTAAAAAAAATTAAAAATTTTGTCAAATATTATTCCGTCTACCTTCAATAAAAAAGTTTCAAGAGTTGGGAAAATGGTGGAGCTGTCAATCTTGACCACCCAATTGGCGGTTGGCAGCTGGGGGATCTTAATCATCATCTTATTAATTACTAATTATAATTATTTGGTTTGTGAATCTTTTTAGTATCTGAATTTTTGAATATTTGATGCTTTCGTGCGTGGACTGATTTCCTCGATCACATATAGATGAGCGTGATTGGTGGCAATTACATACACGTTTCTCAATTTATGTAAAAGTCTGTTCACATATGCATCATCGTCTATATTAATTTTAATTTCATTGGACAATGTTACAGTAATTCTACTGTCTCATGAATTGACGATGATCATAACTCCATATGAATAACATTACTCTTTGATGATATTCCTAATGATAATAATTAGTTAGTTTTTCAAAATTTTGCTCAATTATGAGATTAATAATAGTCAATGTTACAATAAATACTAGTTTGTTGGGAGAATGTGTCGTATGGTTCATAGTGTCAGTTCTCTTTAAAAAAATGTTGAACCTCAATTTTGAGGGCCCCCACCGCCCCGCTTGTGGAGATCAGTTCTCTTTATATCTTTATCCAAGAGGTCTAAAATACTCTGTGTACAAAAGTGGCTTAGCCAAAATGGAAAGAAATAATGCAATTTCTTTGATCAAACATTGGGGAAAGGTTGGCAAATAATGGATAATGTGGAAAGAGGCTTGACTGGGTTGAAGCCAACGGGTACTCCACTAACAATAGGATATTATTGTAAAAAATGATCCATATGATTGGCGCTATCCTGATTGTTCAATAAGCTCAATATGGTGACTAAGAGAGGGAGGGAGGAGAGGCAGGTCATGTCTTTCTTGTATCTTTTCATCGTCTGATTAACAAATAATTTGAAATTGAATATGGGCACACTTCGTCATGTCTCTATAAGGAAGCAAGTGTTGGGAGAAATCCCATGAACTTGCACGGAATGCGATGAAAATGAAAAAGAAAAAAAAAATGAGCCAACAAGAGAAAATAGCAAATGTAATGTGGTTCGAAAAATTGTCAATTACCAAATGTGAGAAAATTTCACAATAAAATGTGTTATGCCTCATCCAATGAGGCACCAAACACAAATCACGTGGCAAACACCTAGCAAAGAAAACCAAGCTCGCACTTTACGTCACTATCCAATCGACTTAGTCAAGGACATAGCTAAGATAGTCGAATTGATGCATCATCCCAGTCGAGGTGCCTAGGCCGACCCTCCATAACCTAGACGATGTGCTATAACCCTTGTAGAGTAAACTCAAAGGCAATTAGCCTCTTAATAAGAGAAGACATCTCCAATTTCATTTGTTCTAAGAGATCTTCGTTACAAGATTCTTCTGATTGATTGACTGATATGACCTTCTTACAATAAATATCTTAATCAACTTATCAATGTACTCTTCATATATCAGGCCTAAGTCATAGGATGACTACTTTTAGAGTCATTAAATGCCCTTGATCCTAGCATTGATAGAATGACACTTATAACAAAGCACCTCGACTTCAAGATGTGGTCACATGTCTCTTCATCGAATGGATTGGTTTGATTTAGTTGGGGACAAGGATGGGGATAAGTTTGTGATGGAAATAAACAAAAGTAGCTACTTTATTTCTTCTCTCTCTTTTTTTTTTCATTTAATTTTTTAAAATTATTTTATATTAAAATTGTAAAGTTATCATATATATATATATATATTGTCAAATTCAATTTTCAAGTCAACTAACGGTCAAATGATTCATTTGTCCTTCTGCTGCAATGAAATAAAATGTTTCAGGCTGTGAGTGGTATAAATGAAAGATTTAAGTAAAGCCTGCAACAAAATGAAAAGCATGGGACGGTGATTGCAATTTTTCCCAAATAAATAATTCTTTTACCTTATTGCATTGTTTCTTTTTCATTGCTAAACAAGAATTTCTTTTCCTTTTCAGAATAACTTTTTTTTTCTTTCCAAATTTGGATCAAATCCAACAACCTCCACTTTGAACCAAATTCTCTAAATCATGGCCGGTATTAGTTCTCATATTTGCACCCTTTTACCAATATTTGTTACCAGCACATGATCAATTATATAGATCGAATCACACTCAAAAACTCATCAAACCTGATTGTGTGGTTTGGCTTCTTCGCACTGTAATGTTCAATTATCTGCCATTGGCCATAGAGTTTGTAATGATTATTTCACAGTCTTTAATAAAAATGGAAGAACCTCTTTTACATGATCAACCATCGCCACAGCTCCACCTTAATGTCAATCCACAGTCTTAGCCCCATATCAAAGTTTGAACATGTTATCATCTTCAATGCAATCCTAGAGTTTGAATGGACACCCTTATGTATATAGAATTATGTACACCTAGCACAATTCTAAATTTTAATATCACTTATTGAGAAAAAATTCCACCAGACAATGTAAAAACGAGCACGAAACCTGACTTTATGATTTGACATCTTTGAACTTTGATTTTCATTCTTCTTGCTACTGGCCATACAGAGGGCGGTTGCCTCGTTGCAAACTCATGAAGATGGCTTTATTATTATTTTTGCTGTAATGTAAATGAAAATAAGTATTAAATTTCAAAATTAAAGGTAATTTTAAATTTAAATTTTCTATTTTAACTTGCATTTTTTATACAAAATTGAAACTCATAATTAATGGATTAAAACTTATGCATAATTTGGATTTATTTTCATGAATGTGGGGGATTAAAGGAGCAGTGATGCAACATGTAAAAAACAAGTTGAGATACAAGTAGAAAATAAAATACTCTATATTTCATACTACTAGTCAAAGTTGAACGTGCAACTACACGTTATTCTAAAATACTTTGTAAATGATGTAAAAGTAATATTTGGTACCAGTTTGTTGGACGAATTAAAGAAAATAAAATTTAGCATGGAAATTTAAGAGAAGAAAATTGTACTATCAAAACTCAATTTTTATGATTCAAATTTTTTTGTAATGATGAAATACTATAAATAAGCAATCGTTTTATATTATATTTGATATATAAAACTTAATTGTTAATACATAAATTTGAACACCCGTTAAAATTTCTGGATACATGAATATGAATAAATTCATCTATAATAACTTTAAATTCATATAATTCAAGATTTATTAAGTGAAAATTCATTAAATCTAGGTTAATGTGAATGTAATTAATTGAGAATTAATAACACAAATTTCATAAATGACAATAATTATATAGTATTTATTACATATCGAAAAATGAAAATGTATTATTAAAATAATTGAATTATATGAGGGTCTAAAAAATGATTCTCCATTGATGTGATATTTTAATATATATAGATATAGATATTTCTAGAGTTTTGACAACTTAATAAATGTTTGTTCACTTATCTTCCTATGGTCGTGCCAATAGAAGGAGAATTAGCTGTGAGCCACATTAGTTTTATAGTGAAGCAGTGTAGTGCCAAAAGAATCCACACGAAGGAGAGGCAATATGATTTTAGGACTGCGTCTTCAACGTGAATCTCAAGCCTTACTTTTCTAACCCTCATCTTATTTTTATATTATTGTTGAATTATATTTGTTATTTTATTATGTTGGTTAAAAATCAATCTACACACAAATCACCAATTTTCCCAACAATCTAAAGTCATGTTAAGTGATTTGTGTTTGTAGCTTCTCCAGTCCCTCAATTGGGTAAGTTGTTATTTTAATTTACATAATTAAGATTTAAGTTTCATACTTCAAAAATTGTTGCAAATCATGGATTGTGTTTATATAGTTGGTTTCATCTTGTTAATTGAATGCAAATATGAAATTTATTCTAGTCTATGGTTTATTAAGTCTCAAATTTCTCAAAACTCAATTTGAGTTGAAAGAGGAAACAAAGATCCAATCACACAAGAAAATA